TATATCTCTACTATAGAATCGTGAATATGAACATCATCTGGATGGAAGATAAGGAGGACTTGGGTGACCACTGCATCCACGTCAAAGGCTTTGAGCACAAGTCACAGAGCGCTCGAGCGATATCTTTTGAAGTTTAATCGCCTCACTCAATATCGAGCCGGACTCCTCAGTTCCGATATGCGCAGAATGTCTCGACTCCGCAATCCGGTGATACACGAAGAACCCAAAATATTGGTGGGACGGTCATATAATGAAAAGAGATGATGGCAGATGGACAAGAAGGACAGTCGAGTGGGCTCCCACAGGATCTTCACGATCTAACGGTAGGCCTGGGGCCGTAAGGTATGCTCCTTCGACCAGGGGAGGGTCCCCTTCCCGGTAAGGTATGCTCTCGGGGAGAGCAGAGAGATAGATGCTTTCGGGGAGAGCAGGGAGAGAGCCGAATCGGGGCGTCCCAGCCCCGAAAACGAGAGCATACCTTACGGCCCCTGCTGCGAGATGGGGTATTGTGCCTGCCGATCACCTGAAACAGCTACGACAGCAGCTGAACGATTCCTTACATCGTCATCTTCGTCGAATTCTGAGTCTAAAGTGGATGGCGATCGCGTAAGAAAGTCACGAATGGCTTTTTGCTGGTGCACGCATATGAGTGAAGACGAGCCGTATAAGTATAAGTAAGATAAGGAATCATCCGAGACGAGCTTGAATGTATCAAAAGTTCGACTAGATGGAGGTTCATACTTGCGCTAGTGGAGTGCGCGTCTGGATTCAGAGAAATATAAGGCTTTGATGAAGAAGGGGTTGGACGAGAATGGACGGCAGAACTGCATGGAAGAAGTATTTGGACCAGCTGTTCGAATAGCCTTTCCATGCAGGTTCTGCCATTACGTACAATGAACTGCAGTAGGCTCGTTCGTGCAAGGTGGGGGTGACGGTGTGAATGGTGCATCCCCTAGAGCTTTAACAACGCCTAAAATCCGGAAAGGTCGTCCATTTTGGATGTGCACGACAGCTGAGCCAGTCCTGAGGTCCTTATTACGCCCTATCTTGGACATTTTTTGACTCCACGAAGTCCTTTAGGCTATCATGGGTATCAGAGTTTCATATCAGGGAAAGACAGGGCCCATTTTTATCGTGACTTGCGCCTTTGAGCTAGATAACTCAGAGTTATCTATTGTGTCTTGTGGTTCGAGTGGAAAATCACAACATCAAAAATAAAAGCAAATTAGCACATAAATACAAATAAACCGTTTCCAGAATTTAGGCGATGATTTGTGAGCTGATGTCCCTCATGAGTTTATGTGCCTTAGTAACATATTCAATTGATTGTGCAAAGAAACAAAGAACTGGAGCTGGAAGTGCATTGCCAAGCAGTAGACGTGCAACGGTGACGCAATTTTACAATTCATAAAACATTTTTTTATTTGGTCGGTCAAAAAGTATTTGCCTTCATGGATGCTCAACTACCAAATGATTCCTTTCGAATATGTTCTCAAAATAGGAACCATTGGCTAAGGATACCCCCGAACTTTCTCCACAAACCAATAGATTCCTTTCTCACAAAACTTTGCATCCTTAGAGTAAAAGAAGTGTCGATGTGCCTACTTGACATCTTCCTTCTGTCAGAACAATTTCCCCGATAGAAGGGGCTCTAGGAGTGAAAAAAAATTGGAGGGCGTAGGAAACTCTTCTGGGAAACAAGGAGTGTGCGGGAGAAGTTCGATGACCAAAGAGTTTCCAACAACCTTGCGATCCAGCGTTATCTTGTAAGAGGATTAGAGCCTCTTCTATTCACCCGAGCAAGACATCGCTCTCCCAGTTTTAATGTACTCTATCCAGATCTTCGCAGTAGGCATCACCGACACCGGACGCTATCGCATACTCTGGTTCATAAACCGTAAGCAAACAACAGTAAACAACAATAAGCAGGCAGCCTGACCTTCCCTGGATGAGGTCCAAGTTTTGCCCTTTTCTGACGCAGTTCATTGATCATATCCAAGTTTCATTGGAATTTATCATGCGTTCTAGAAAAGGCTCGTGCCCTTCGTGAAGTAAAAGCGACAAGCACATCTCTACGAAGCGATACTTCATGTGTCGAGCTGTAAGCTCGTGTGGCACCTGCTCGAAAAACCTTTTACTGGTGCGCTTAGATGGTCCAGTTCTTTACCTCCGAGGCTTCAAGTTCTCCGGGCATTCACTGATTTTAGAGGAGCATAGGTGCGCCCAGGATTAGCTTCAACTATTTCTTCCAAGGAATCGTACTGAAACGACAATTGTACTGACAGGCCTGAAAGACTAGCCTTTAGGCGTTGATAGATTCCTCTGAAGGATGCACCCCGCATTCGGCTTCCCTTCAGACTCTAGTGGCGCATTGAATGCGTATTTGGCCTATACAATGACTTGCGGTGGCCAACCGATGTACAAGTCAGTGTTTTTATCTTCCCAGACGAGGCTGGTCTTAATTCATCGACCCCCAGGGGAATGCAAGACTTGGTTAGCCCAGGTAGATATTGATTGGGATGGGTCAACCAGCCCTCATAATATTGTTTATTTTTATTTAATTCATTTGTATAAGATATTTAGATAAGATATGTATAAAAAATTTATAAAATATTCATATCAATACCACCACTGAAAAATAAAATGTAAATGAAAAGCAAAACATCAGTACAATATACAAAATTTCAGAATACCCCAAAATCAAAAACGATTCACCAGCCGGTATTCCTTTTTTCGTAAAACTTTACATTTCATTCTTTTTTATTTTTTTCTTTTTTTTACAAATTTACTTACTTGTCATATTTGTCAAAATAACTTATATTAAGGTTAAAAGTAGCAGCCAACCATGTTCTAAACAGCAACAACTGCAAAAGAAGCGAACTCAGACTTTACGCAGGGCAAAAACTAACAAGGATCAGGACACTGGCACCGGAGTAAGCCATGCTATCAAATTATTTAAAGGCACAGTCAGGGGTAAGAATGGTTTCCGAGATTTCCAAAACCGGTTTGGCTGACGCAGACACTCGAAGTGGACGAGTTATGCCGGCCCTGCTATGACTGCACTATTCAAATGACGAGAGGAATAGTACGGCCATGTGAGAGACACCAGACAGCCAACTCGTACAACCCTTTCCTCCCTGTTTAAAGACATCTGAGAGGCAGTCTCGTAGGACAATGAAGAAGGCCATCTACGACTATTTTTAAAAAGTAAAAAAGGGAAAAAATTCTAAGTGATACAAATAAAGATAGCGATAATTCCTACCAACCATTTAAGGTTGATGAAGGTGGATATGAAGTCTGCCCAGATATGACTCCATCACAATTGGCCAAAGCTGCAAATATGGAAGATGGCGTAGGTGGTAATGAGTTGATGACGTTGTTGTGAAATTCCATTGTGTAGTTGAGTACCTTTATTTTGATGCCACTAAATACTCCATTTTCATCAATGCTGTATCCTTTCTCATAGCACCGATATAAATTCTTGAAGTACAATCATCTGTCGTGTATTGAACTCAGTGAACCAGATTTCTCGTAAAAGTGATAATCGAAAGTCTATTACAAGCTGCACTCCCACCTCAACAAAATAGAATAATATCACATTCGAAACGATTTTGCCAAAAATTTGCTGCTGTGCCGGTACGGATGTCTTGTTTTAAACGCACTGTTCACGAAAAAATGGTTTCGTAGATTCGCACATGGTTTGAATCCGACGCCTAATCTGATACCATTTGTGCAGGAATGAGGTCGGAAAACGATCTGGATAGG